CAGGGCGTTTCTTGGTATGGGCTTCCACTGTACATACTGCACGTTGGCGAGGGGGCCGAAGCGCCGAGGGGCGCGAGCGACCCCCGGCAGAGCCACCACGGCCAGGCCGCACTGGGCGCGCAGCCTGTGACGCTGTGCCGATCGAGGTGCAGCGAAGTGGCACGGCACTGGGCAATAAGCGGCCCCATGAACTCTCGGACTGGCGGCTCGGTCGATCCATCGATCGCGCTGCTGTTCCCTCATCGTTCCCTGGCCTGGCCCCCTCAAGGTGGACCAGGATCGACAACACAAAAGCGTCCAACTGCTAATTATGGCTGCTGCTTTGCTGCTGCTGCTGCTGCTGCTCATCCTCCTCCACGTCTTACACCTCCACCTCCTCCGCGTTATCCTTCTCTTCCTCCTTGTCCTCCTCCTCCTCCTCCTCCTGCTCCTCCTCCTCCTCCTCGTCCTCCTCCTCCTCCTCCTCCTCCTCCTCCTCCTCCTTCTCCTTCTCCTCGACAGGGCGATTCAAGCCCGCAGGAGACACAGACGGGCGTCGTTCGGAGCGCCAGCGCCCCCGCAGAGTTCGTCTCGCTACCAGCTCTGCGATAGTTGGCTCGACCACCCCCCTTCCTCCTCCCACTCCTCCCCGACTCTGGCTATGGCTTCAGGTCCTGCACCGTTTGGGCTCGGTGCACCCTGGTGGGCGAGTAGCAGAGGCAGGAGCAGGAGCAGGAGCAGCCCATGGCCGGTCGGAGCCTCCTCCGCGGGCGCCTCCGCCTCCGCCGCCTGCAGTGCGGCCGCCAGCGGCGCGGCCGCCGCGGGCGGGGCCGGCACGGCCGCGGCCAGCGCGTCCGCCGCCGCCTCCGCCCCTGCCGCCTGTTGCGTGGCCTGCGGCGCCGCTGGCGCGGCCAGCGCGTCCGCAGCCGCCGCCGCTGCTGCCTGCTGCGTGGCCTCTGGCGGCGCCGCCGCGGCCCGCACAGCGGCCTCCGCTGCCGGCCTTTGCCGCCGGCGCCCCCTGCGCGTGTGCGGCTGGCGCGGGCCTGCCGCGCGCCCTCTGCCTCGCTCGCCACCAGCGCTGCCGCCCGCGTGCGCGCGGGCCGCGGGCGCGGCCGCTCGGTGACGCCCAGCGGCTCGCGCACGCTGGGCGGCGGCGGGCCGCCGCCGCGCGCGCCCGCGCGGCCTGCGGGGCTGCTCGGCGGCGCCCGGCGGCGGCGCGGGCGCCTCGGGCTTTGCAGGCGCGGGCGCGGCGCGCGGCGGCTGCCCCCGAGAGCTGTGGCGAGCAAGCTCGGGCGGGCGGTGGCATCCTCTCAGAGTTTGGGTTTTTGTCGGCTGCACGCATGAGTGACCCTGCGCAAAAGTGGCCTGTGGTGCGGGGCTGTAGTTTTTCGAGACTGTAGTTGTTGCTGTTCCCATCATACAAACCACAAGTGGCACCCCGTCGTGGGACCTGCGACCACCAGGCAAGCCAAGGTCGCACATGAACAAGGAGTGACCTTTGGTGCGCGGCTGTAGGGGGCCGCAGGGCGTCCAAATCCAGGCGCGCCAGCCAGTGCTTGGGGGACACCTGTGGGCTCGCACCAGACAGGTCACTCGAGCGAAGGGTCGCTCTTACATGCAGCCGACCTCAGAGCTTGGGCCTCTAGAGCCACGCGAGGACGAATCCAGGGCGGGGACAAAATCGAACCAGGACAATCGGGGATCTCTCATGAGATCTGGCGGTTCCGGAGGATGTATCGGGCGCCGCGGCCGTGTCAGAGCGCTCCGGAACGCTGTGAGCGCGTTGCGGAACGCTCTGGAAACATTCAAGTCAGTCAATCGCGGTCCTGGCACCGCCCGACGCACGTTGGGCCACGGGATGTTTTTTTTGCTGACTCAGGCAAACTTACTTGCACGGCATTGTCCCACCTCACCTCCTCCCTTCTCCGCCGCCTTCGTAAACAACCCTGGGCCGAACAGACGTGCAAGTGAGTCCCAACTTGCGTGCCCGCCGGACCAACAGCCATGCCAAAACCACGGGAGGCGACGAGGTGGCCACGGGGCGGCGACGGCAAGCACGGGGCAAGCACAGGCCCAGCCTCTTGCACCAGAAGTACAATCAAAAACCCTAATAAGGACGCGCGGTGAGGACGCAAGATCCTTGGAAGCCGAAGTTGGGATTTCTGGGGCGGCGGACGACGAAAACCTCAAGGACGCAAGAGCAAGGAAGAGCAAGGACACACGGGTACCCTGAGCAAAGTCGCGCGTCCTTATTAGGGTTTTTGACTGTACGAACCCCTGAGTGCAGGCACTGCTTGGGGAACGAGCCTTCGGAGGCCTGCGCGAGTTTCGCGGACCTGCGCTGGGCCCCCTCCCTGGCGTGCGGAGCGCTTAAAGAGCGGCGCTGGAGGCGCTGCCACGGGGCTCCCGCGCCGATCCACACACACACAGACACACAGCGAATCCAGAGATCCGAGCGGCCGCCGCCTAGAAGAGAAATCCGCGTGGACCTCCGAAAGTGCATGTTTGCGCATTTGGTGTGCCCCCATGTGTACCCCCCCATGTGTGGGGGAAGACGCCCTCTGACCTCAAGCCTCGACCCCGAAACATCGAACCTCGAACCTTCAAGCGCGAACCTCGAACCCGAAACCTCCAGCCTCGAACCTCGGACCTCGGACCTCGGACCTCAAGCCTCAGACCTCGAGCCTCGCGCCCGACACCTCCGGCCTGGAGCCTCGCATCCCTCGAGCCTCGGGCCTTCCACGTCGGGCCTCGGGCCTCGAAGACCCGAAACACCCCCAGCCTCGAACCTCGCACCCCTCGCGGGCCCCCGACCCCCCCCCCCACACCTCGGACCTCGGGCCTCGCACCCCGCCTCCCCCGAAGCGCCCCGAGCTTGCCGACGCTCCCCGCCGCTCGGCGGCGAAGGCGCCCTGCGCCCTGCGGGCGGCGGGCGGCTCGGCGGCTCGGCGGCTCGGCGGCGGCGGGCGCTCGCGCGCGCGCGCGGCGGGCCCTCGCGGCGGCCCTCGGCGGCCAGCGGCGGCGGGCGCTCGCGCGGAGGGGCGCCTCGGAGGCGGCCGCGGCGCGGCCGCCGCCGCCGCCCTCTGGGGCGGCAGGCCCGGGGCGGGCCGCGGTGCGGCCGCGCGCGGCCTGGGCTCCGAGGCTCGTCGTCGTCGTCGTCGTCGTCGTCGTCGTCGTCGTCGTCGTCGTCGTCGTCGTCGTCGTCGTCGTCGTCCTCGTCGTCGTCGTCGTCGTCGTCGTCGTCGTCGTCGTCGGCGTCGTCGTCGTCGTCGTCGGCCTCTGTCCTCGCGTCCTCGGCGTCGTTCGTTCCCCTCTCCGTTGTGCTCGTGGCCCCGTCGTCGTCTTCCTCCTCTGGATCATGTTGGGTTCCCGAGCGTACGGGAGCAAGTGATCCGATGCTCCGAGCAAATTGGGGAGGCCGTTGTTGTTCTGACATGTTCGACCTCCAAAGGTCCTCAACGGGCCCCATGACCGTCGAAGAACGCCTCGGGATGAGAAGCTGGCCCTTAAGGAAATGGTCCAGACCTCCAGGGGTCCGCGCATTGAAACAAATTGGTGCGCCAGATGTCTGGGGAGGGGGGCGGGCAGGGGAAAGGTCAGTAGAAGCGGCTTCGGGAGCGGCTTCAGGAGCATGCCGACTCGGCTGGGCCAGGAACGAAGCTACTCCACCTACGACCCAACGATGTTGAATCTTCACCATCGCCTACGACCCAAACTGAGGATCGAGGCCCAAACATCCGGCATCCGGCGTCTCGATTTTTTCCGAGACGCGGGGGAGGACGGCGGGGAGTAGGGAAGGGGGGGGCCCTTTGCAACCGACGTCACGGGTTCACCGAATGAAAAACCGATCTCCAGCGCAGTATTGCCCCGCTGCAGCTTCTGATGGCCCCAGCCGCAGCGCCTGGGCCTCCGTGGCCCACCGGCGCTCGTATCCAAACGCTCACGTGGTGGCACGTGAGCCACAGAGGCTCCGTGCCAGAGTACGCACATGCAGCACATGCACACGCAATAAGATCAATTCCTCCTCCTCCTCCACCTTCTCCTCTTCCTCCTCCTCCTTTTGCTCCTCTTTCTTCTCCTCCTCCTCTGCCTCCTCCTCCTTCCCTCCTTCCTCCCCCTCCAGTCCCGCTTCTCCTCCACATCCTCCTTTTCCTCCTCCTCTTCCTCCTCCTCCTTTTCCTTCTCCTTCTCCTTCTCCTTCTTCTTCTCCTCCTCCTCCTCCCCCTCCTCCGCCTCCTCCTCCTTCCCCCCTTCCTCACCCCCCAGATCCCTGGCGTCTTCATCTCTTGGGGCAGGGTGGTCCCTGAAGGCCTGTACCCCCCTCCCCTGGACCGCATCCTCTCCGCTCCCACTTTTCCGACGATGCCAGGGCCCAGCGAGACCCCGCGGAGGCCGAGCACGCAGAACGACAAGAAGCCACCAAGCAGCATGCCCGTCGCGCTGTTTTCGCGCAGAGGCGAGGGGGTCTGGGTTCTCCTCCTCCTCCTCCTCCTCCTCCTCCTCCTACCTCCTCCTCGCCCTCCTTCCCCTCCTCCTCCTCCTCCTCCTCCTCCTCCTCCTCCTTCTCCTCCTCCGTCGTCTCCCCCTCCCCATCCTCCTCCTCCTCCTCTTCCTGCTCCTCCTCCTCCTCCTCCTCCTCCTCCTCCTCCTCCTCCTCCTCCTCCTCTGGCTCTCCCCTGGCGACCGTGGGGCAGTCCAGAGCGAGCCCGCGCTGCACCCCGGCCCGCCTCTGCTCGGCCGCGTCCTGGGCGGGCGCGCATGGGACGGGTGCACTGCAACCGCGTGCACGGCCGGGTACGATCATCAAGCGGATGCCCAAATGAGCCAGATCTGGCCGAACGAAAGCTTATAAGTAGGTTGCAACATGGTTTAGGAGAGTGCGATGAGTCTGCTAAGTTGGTGAAGCCCACCTGGCCCAGATCGTTCACCGCCTTAGGCCACCTGGGGCAGCATGCGCAGCCCACTTCTTACAAGAAAGGGCGCGCCAGACATAGCCCACGTTGAGACCCACTGATATCACCCCTGTTCCTTTAGCGCACCCCACGCCCATCCTGGCAGGAGCCCTGAGCCCCCACAACCCTGGCATCTCTTGGGCGGGGGGGAGGGGCTGCCAGTTTCCGCCAGCATTCTCCGCCACAGAAGAATGCACACAGACAACATCCAGTGGATATCTCCTGGGCCTCAGGGGAGGGTGGCGATGTGTAAATCACCACTGGGAGCCAGCGATGTTATACGGCAGGTCCGTGTCGTTTCGACCTGGGCGTTGATTCCCGACACCGCGGTGATCGTTTAGCCTTGAACGATCGGTCGTTCCCGAAACGTCAAAATCGTTCAACATCGGCCGATTCTGGGCCGCCGACAGCGTTCAACGTGGAAGGCTGGCGGAGGGGTCGTCGCCGGTCGACACGACTCGAACCTGCAGTACAGCGCCGCCCTCCCTGAAGCTACATGCAAAGTTCCTCGGAGGGTGTCTGTATATATATATATATATATGTGTATCTATGTGTGTACATATACATATATATGTGTGTACGTGCCAAGTAAAAGTCGTCGGAGCTCTAGGCGCGTGCGCAGGGTAATGAACCTACACACCTTCCAGGAGTCCTATGTACATATGTATGTATGTATGTATGTATGTATGTATGTGTATGTATGTGTATGTATGTGTATGTATGTGTATGTATGTGTATGTATGTGTATGTATGTGTATGTATGTGTATGTATGTGTATGTATGTGTATGTATGTGTATGTATGTGTATGTATGTGTATGTATGTGTATGTATGTGTATGTATGTATGTATGTATGTATGTATGTATGTATGTATATATGTATGTATGTATATATATATATGTGTTTCTCTCTCTCTCTCTCTCCCCCTCTCTCTTCGCGGCGTGCCTTCCGACGGCCTCTGCCAGCGGACCCGACGCCGCTCTGCCTCCGCCGGGGGCAGAGCTGCCGACTCTCCCGCGGCGAGGGCCCCCCGAGAGGGGGATCGCGCCGCAGACGGGGTCGGAGGATCGCGCCGCAGCG